CCAGTCTCCAGGGAAGGAAAAAAAGCATGGAGCACTTTCTGAAAATTGGCTACGCTTGCAGAGCCTTGCTGACACTGGGTCAGTGGACACAGCCATCGAGTTTAGCAGCTCAGACTTCCTGGTATTGATCCAAGGAGGCTTTTCCTTCCTGTGCAGAATGAATAACAATTTATGTAGGAGACATATAATTTAAGAAGATCTGATAGCCACTGCTGCAATCTGGGCACACAAGAGGACAACTGTTCAGCTAGCATGTCTGAAAGGTGTGCTCTCCCTGGGGCTGGTGGCAGCTGACACAGATTTTTGCCAGGTTTATTGTTCACCAGCGCTCACTTGAGTGGCCTTTCTCTAGGGAGAGAGGAGAAATGAAGACAAGAGAATATGAGGAGCAGAGCAGCATCCTAAAGTGCTACTGGTGCAGCTCGTGGCATCCCTTGTGTGAAACCTCACAGAGTGGATTGAACAAGGGTGTCACCCTGGGAAGGATCCAAACCTCCACAGCTGTTTCACATCTCTGTTTTAGTAGGGATAGGGGAAATGGGATAAACTATGGTTACAGTATTACATGGGTCAGCTATGATGCATGTAAGGACATTGGTATTTTGCAGCTCAAAGAGACAGTTTCATAGTGAAAATCTCATTTTGGCTGTGAAAAAATAGACCAGATAGAGTAATGAGAAACTATGAAATTATCCTAATTTAAAGGCACTAATGGAAAAATCACCATTTTTAATTCAGCTTATTTCCTTTATGCATTTGACAGTGCACTGTCTCATTGTTCCTCATGCTCCAGCCATTTATTTTACCCCTCACCAAATCCTTGCAAAAATGAGTAAGGATTTTTTAATGAAGTTATTTCTTAAAATAATATATTCACAGTAATCTAGTCCAAAGTAAGATGAGAACGGGTCAGAGCAATTTAATAGGTGGTAACTATTTAATCCAACAAGGACGCTTTTTTAAATCAAAGTGCCCACGTATTTTTAGAACCTTATAGAATCATATTTATAGCCTCTCAATTAAATCAAAAATAGTCAAGTACTTTTATCTAGTCCTACAGTTCCATGTTTTGCTGGCAAGGACCACTACCAAGAAAGAGAGCTGTACAATTCAGGACTTTTACTTCAAATTTTAGAACGGTTTACCACAAATTCCTGCGAACACTAACCTTGCCACCCCTCAGCCTTTTCATCTGTGCAGCAAAGCTGTGAAACTGCTCTCTCTCACACAAGTGGAAGCCAAAAGCTTTCATTTGTGGCTTGTGAAGTAGCTCTACTTGTAAAGCACTTGAATACTTTCCTCTTCTTTGGACCAGTGATTATCACTAATTTTTAAAGAATGAGTAAGTGCTGAAATGGGAAGATAGCAGTGGCACAGTGGGAGGATACTGTTTTCAAACATTTAATATTAAACTAATTGAACACTTCTGAATCTTCTCAAGTCTCATCTGATAATTTCTTCTCCAGAAGAAGCCTAATTTACTAAACATCCAGGTCACTGTCAAAAAATAGTGTATTCTCAGTTGTCATCACATGGCAATCAGAGCATAACCACATAGTTTTACATGCAAACGAGCCCCACACTGATGAGCTGGTGGAATCCCATGGTTGAGTTTAATTTCATTATATTAACACTTTGTTATTACTACCATTTAAATTAAGCAGCTGATCAGAGATTTAAGCAGTGCTCCAATACTATTTTGATTTAAATGATTTTCAGCTCCTCCTGCCATTCTCTCTTCACAAGTGCTGTAGGACAGAAAGCCCTGCTCACCCATCAGCAAATCATACAAGCAAACTAGCTTGTTTGGGACCATGGAGATGTGAAGGGAAGCAGACAGGCAAAAATGAGATGGAAGATCTAGTAGAGGCCATTTTCTAGGAAAAAAATTAAAGAGCTGCAGCCCCTGTTCCACGTGTTTGACTAAATCCATGGATTTTGGGGATGGCATCTTGTTATTTCTCCCAAGGCCAGGCTCATACAGCAGCCTTTAATTGACTCATCCACATCACTGGCGTTATGCAATGGGACAAAAAGACTTTGCAGCTCCAGCGTTCAGCCTGGGGCACACAGAGGTCACAGGAGTGTGCCTGGGCACACAGGCCAGCTCTCCTTCCTCAGTCCCCTGCCACAAATGTCATCATGGACACGTAAAATAAAGCAAACTACACTTCCCCTGGCTTCACTTACTGAGATTTACACTTGGTGAGATTTACACACCGTTTCTCCCACCTGGCTGGTGATTACAGGAATTCAAAATCCCCCCAAAGGATCTTCCACCTTCACCTGAGAGGGCAAGCACAGAATTTGCACACAAGTGATCAGCAGTAAGACAATACCCACGTGTTGCAGAGCAGAGAGAACTCACCGAGTGCACAGGAAAGGAGCTGTGCCGGCTGAGAAAGGAGTTAGAGACTGACATAGTGAGGCCCTGAGTGGCACCGCAGTCCTCGGGGGTGAAGGGCACTTTAGGTTGCTGGACACAGTAGGAGACAGAGGAGAAAGAAGAAGCAGCATAGGAGGCCTGCTGAGGATGGGGGAGAAAGCAGGAGACACAAGACACAGAGAAAGAGAGCACAGAAAAGGTGATGAATAAAGGGCAAGAAATGCTAACTGTAAAACAATGCATATAATGGCTGGCTAAACAAACAGCTATTCATAGAGCTCATCAGAGCCAGACACACCAATATGCCTTTCTTGATCTCAAGAGGCAGGACAAAAATCACAATTCAAATCTTCTTTGTTTCACAAATCCCTTAAAAAATGAAGTCCTGCCTCCCCCTCCCCGCTCACCCGCGGACAGCTGCTGCTGGCACAGACAAGCTGCTCCTCGCTGCCCTTTTCTCCCTGGGGCGTGGGGGCAGATACCCAAAGGGAAAACTGGCTCTAAGCACACAATTCTTGCACACTGCTATTTTTTTCTGGCAACCCGCAGATTGGGAATTTGGCCTCTCGTGTGTGAGCTGTGGATCCTCACTGGTACTGCTGTGAGACTGGGTGACAGTGACATCCTGCCATTTCTCTGTCCAATCCAAGATTATAATCATTTGCACAGGATGCAGCTATTACACAGTAAGTGACAAATCCTGGCAAGGAATTTCTCCTGAATTCCCCTATGGTAAGGAGACTGAGAGAGGGTAAGGTATACTCAGGCTTTCTCAGACTTGGTGAATAAAACATACAATGTAAATATACTTTAAACAATCTTATTTTTGATTAAGATCTGAAGCTAACAAGAAAGAACTTCTTCATTATTATATTATAGAGGAGTCCATCCAGCAAAACTTGCTGCTGCTAGAGCAGCTGGTGCCCAGCTGATTTGCCAAATCAAAAACTCCCAGGGCAGCAGGAGCAGAGGAACAAGAGTCTGGTAGCTTTTACAGGGATTGCTGAATAAGCCATCACCTGCTTGCACCTCTTTCCCAAAAGAGGGATGAAGGGTGAGAGGCTGCACTTGAAGAAACTTTTGCTTCAGGGGAACTGCAAGCAATACCTTGATGGTATCAGCTTGTAAAATGACAAGAATGGCCAGCAGGCAAAGCAGTGCAATCTTGGCTGTCCAGATAATGATTAAAGGGAAGCAAAAAAATGCTTTGCTTCAGCCAACAAATTCAGGACAGGAGCAGAATTTCCCTTCTGCACAGTGGCTGCAGTAAATCTGTGCTTTGCAGACACTGATCATGACTGTGCAGCCCGAGTCACCTCAGGAAACATCACTGAAGTGCAGCCCCCTCCAGGAAGGAAAAGCAGGCAAAGGACTGCAAAGGTGCAACGTCACACTCATGGGGACCACAGACCCTGCCTGATCCTCCAGAAATGAGTCCTGTAGACTCTCTAGTGTCCCTGCAAAGGAAATGGGATGCCAGCATTTAAGGTCTTGTCCCCACAAAGAATTAATGCATAACACTCAGTTCAGCTTAGCCAAAAATGTCACTTTATCTTTTTAGGACGTCCTACTTGCATCACAGGAATGTTCTTATGGAAATCCCAAAATCAGAGTTAAAAAGTAACACCCTGGGACAGTCAAACTTTAGCACATACTACATGAAGAGATATTGGAAGAGTCATCCTCACAATCCTAAGACCATGACTCTGTTCTCACATTTCCTCCCATTTTGTTAATCCCATGACCAATTTAAGTAAGCTACATCAGAACAAAAGAATTTTCTTTAAAACAGAACAAATAAGATAATTAATATAAACAAAATACCTTAGGTTGGAGTTGGGAGAGAAAAAAAGAGAGAGAAAAGAACTGAAAGGAAAACCCTTAAAAGGAAATGGGATAAAATCCCACCCTCCACTGAGGTCAGAAACAAAACTGCTGCTGCCATCACTGAGGTCAGGATTTCATCCCCAACATGGAAAATGGCCCATTCTGTGCTGTTGAACCCACCACTCATACACATGTGGATGTGCCTTTCCATGCTGGCAGCCTGGGTTTTTTTTTTTACTGAAACAGGTAAAATCCTGAATCACTCAAGGGGACCAATATGAAGGAAATATGCATGAGTGAAGTAGTGGCTATACCAAAGATACCAAAGGTCTGTGCATAATAACATAGAAGTAGTTAATTATGTTTAAACAGGTATTATTAGTGGCATCTCTGACAACACTTTCAAAACAACAGTGGGAACAACAGTGCAGCAATCTCTTGAAAGCAGTGCTGCTCAGTGCATTAAAATCTTCTAAGCAGTTGTCATTACACAAGCCTGGCACAGATTCAGCCCTGCCATGCAGAAGATGAACATTTCATTTTTAGGACATTTCAGGACTTTCAAAGCTTATGGGGAACGGTCTGAACATGGGGTTAGAAAGCAGCCAAAACATACATGATGCAAAATGCCTAAAACCATGTTCACAAGCTGCCAAGGAGCACAGTGTGGTAACTCCAGTGAGACATCCTCCCACCACCTCTGCCTGTCAGAAAGCAGGAGTAGGAAAAGCAGAGCTGTTCCTGGCAGCTTGGTGGCCCTGCCAGGTGTCCCTGGGGTATCACTCACCAGCTGCCGCTGCTTTGGTGGGAGAGCAGGAGGAGGTGCCAGGTCTTGAGAGGGGTCTAAGCTGATAAAGGAGTCATTGATCCCATAGACTTCCCTGAGGTACTTGTTCTTCTTCTGGTAGATGTGCTCATTCTGAGGGGTCTGGTAGAACATGGACGGCTGTGGCTCTGAGTAGTCTTCCACAAACTGCATGTAGGCCATCACTGCAAGGCAAAGAGAGGTCACACTCACTGCCCTGCTCTGCAAACCTCAGCTGAGGGGCAGCAGGCAGCTGCTGGTTCTCAGAAGGGCATCCACGCTCCCAGGCAGCTCAGAGAGCTGCCAACCACCTTGCAAACCCAAATACCCATCCTGCGAGCCAGCACACAACAAACACCATCACAGCCCACACACACAGCTGATAATACTCTGGAACCAGTGAGGTCTCCAAACAGCAACTTGAGAAGTCTCATTTACTGATGCTTAGCCCAAATCCCCACATAATCCATGGTAATTCTGAGAATATTCCTCAACAGCTAATGTCCAAAGTCACAAAAAAAAACCAGAATAGTGTCAGTCTGCTATTTAGGAGTGTACCTTGACAATAAATCTGTAATAATTCTTGTGTCTGTAGTCAGTCGCATGTCTGCAGTCAGCAAGGTTTCTAGAACCAGGATTTCTTGAACATGTTTCTCCTTCCTAGCAAGCTGATAAAACTGTTATCAGAGAACCTGTGAGACTGGATGTGCCTCTCCCTTAGCTCTTTAAATGCCACTGCCAATCCAGGTACAAAATACTTACAAAATACTTCCAAGAGTGCCACTGACCACATCTTCCCACCTCCTTAGCTCAGATCCAACACCCTTTGTTCCCATCCCTTTTTACCATCTCTGATTTTCAAATTCAACTGATTCACAAGCTTTTGTGAGATGTGGCTCAATAGAAATGTTAAATGGGATCAAACCTTGTCTAGAGAACCTTTCCATCTGTACAATATTCCTTCCAAAATCTATGAAAAAACCCATACAGGTCAGCATAGGCAGCTCTGACAGAGAATTAGTTACTGCTGCAATATTTTAGTGTTGGAGGGGGAGTATCTCATCCAGTGCCACAGAAAGACTACTACAAACCCACCCCCATTATTAAGGATCAGAAGTGTGCTGAATAATGTAAAACAGAGAAAGAATCCCCTTCTGTACACCTGAGAGCAGGAGAAACTGATATATTTAAGTGTCATGGGAAGGACTAACCAAGGCCTTCTTGTAAACATGCTGTCATGCACAAGGCACTGTGATCATCCCTCCCTTCCTCCTGATAAACAAGCAGTTGTCACTTTTTGTAAATCTGGTCATTTTGCAGCAATTATTCAGCTTCTGCTGGCATTTCAGCTGTACAACTGAAAGGAGTGGTTGACTTCAGTGAAAGCTATAAATACAACAAGCACAATGCAGGATTTGCACATCATGAAGCTGGTTCCCACACTGTCTGCAAAGCAAAGTCCTGTGTTCACCTGCCAAGGCAGACCCCTGGGCCAGCCTTTAAACAGGATGCAGCCCTGAAAATGTGTCAGCAGGAAGGAGCTGCTTTGCACCTGTCTTGGGCACCTTTTTTCAGATTTCCTCTACTATTTAAAACTCCATTTAGAAACAGAGCTAACACAGCTGCCTTTCCCCAAAAGAATTATAACTCTCTTCCAAAAAGTAGAATAAAGAAAAAAAAGAAATAATGAAACAAAAACAGGTCGAGGCAATGGGAGCACAGGAAATGGAGCTGATGGATTTCAATCCTGACCGGTAACACCTGCTGTCCCCATCCTGTGACCCCACAGTCCTGCCAGTGGACAACCTGTTCTTGTCCTGCAGTACAGCCACTCCTGCACAGCTCTGCCAAAGCTGCTGGAATTCTAACCTCCAGTTCTCCCTGCCACCTGAGCTTGCTCCTCTTCCTCCCTCAGACTCACTGCTCCTTCCCAGCACCACCTCACAGTGAAAAGAAGCATGTCCTGGAAATACTGTCTTATATGGAATCATGGTGAAGGTGTAGGAAACAGAAAATTACTAAAATAGCCTTTCAAATATCAGTGATTCATCTGGCTAAGGTGCTCCTGTGCCCTGGAAAATGCCCTGGTACCATACAACAACTTCAGGGGACAAGATCTAAAGAAGGCTTTTGAAAGATATTTCTCTAGCAGCAAAACTGAACTAAGAATTAGGAGTCCTTGCAGAAGTGTAGAGGACAAGAGCTTGAGGGAAAGACCACATTTTGAGAGCTCATCAACTGAGCAGGACAAAAGCCAAGAAGGCAGGCCTGGCAGTGCTGGCATAATGCAGTAGACATTGCAGAATCCAGATCAACCTTTCATGTTGAGTCACCTACAAAAGCAGTGCTCCACTGAACACCCAGATCCGCAGACACCACTGGGGATTGATAGCTGTGAGCTCCTGGCATGGCACCAAACACTGGAATGACACCACAACTCAGAAGTGTTGGTGAAAAGGGCATCACATTAGACACTTGTGTAAAATTAAATCACTGTAACTCAGGCCAGTGAGCCTGAATGCTGTCGGAAGCCTTAACTCAATCTGCAAGGGAATAATGAAGAGCTCTTTTATCTCAGCTCTTTATGGGGCTAATGCATCCCATCGTCATGGCAGCTCCCCTGCCTGGCTTGTTACAATTAGTCCTGGGCAGGTGAGCATGTCCCTGCCTCTCCTTTGTCATCTTTGTTTCTAGGCAAAGTGTAAAACAGTTGTGATGGTGAAATACAAACCTGGTGCTGCAGAGCGCAAATCAAAATAGGCATCATTAAAATCCTGCCAATCTAGAGCAGGAGAGTAAGAGAGTAAGAGACCAAGAGTGCTCCTATGACCCCTGTTTGCAAAGGGGCTTCTCTGCCCCTCTCCACTGTGGTTTTAAACAAGGCAGAAATTGAATAGCAGATGGGAAATTACATCAGCAGCTCAGTCTGCACGCCCTGCAGCAACTGCAGAGGGAGGGATGGGGGCTGCAACTCCCCAGTGAGCAGCTGGGGTGGAGTGACAGTCTCAAAGCAGCCCCCCGGGAGAGAAGGGAGGTGTGAGAGAGAAACCTCTCCCACCACATGCCCAGTTTATGTCAGTTCTTAACCCAGACAGAAAATATGTCAAATTTAAAAAACCATGAAATCTCAAACTAAGGCTAGGAACACCTTCTAGGCAATCTGCTTGCAGTGCCTTGGCTGTCATTTCTGAGGGAGCTAAAGCTGCTCAGGGATTTCCAGCACACACCAGCTCTGCCCATATGGTAAAAGTCACAGGTACTCCTCTCCCAGGAGCCAGCTCTCCTGGAAGCAACGTGCAGCTGCAGGAGAGGACCAGTGGTTGTTGGAGTCTGAAGGGGTTATTAGGAGATGATCAGCACTAAGGCACACCTGCAATAAGGTGAAGCACACCAGCATTCCCCCAGGGGCTCAGTGACAGCCCAGCCTGACCCTGGTGCTGCTGGCAGCTGGGCCCTGCACAGGCACAACAGATTTGTGTGCATGGGCAAGAGCCAAAATAATGGACATTCTTAAGCTATACCACACAGAACTCACTGGAGAAGTCAAGGTCAATGAGCCAGTCATTGCTGTCACCTCTGGGAGGAGAGCTGCTCCTCACAGAGCTCGAATTATCCGCTAGCCAAGCCCAGCCTGCCCTCAGCGTGGCTCCTGCAGTTAAATACCAGCTGCTCACTGGGCACCAGGCTGCGTTTTGTTCCCACTGACAGGGAGGGAAACATGAATAAGTGCCTCACCAGTAGTTTCCAAGCTGTTTGGGGAAAGGATCTTGTTATTTCTGACTCTGAGCTCTTAATGGCAGAAGCTGTTCCATGTCTGTGTCTTGTTCAGCAGGAGCACAACGCTGGTGCTCAAGCAGAAGTCTGGAGTAATTTCCCCTTAGCACAGTAACTTGTGCTCTTACAGCAGAGTAAAATAACCATAACTCATGCCAGACTAAAAGCCCTATCACTCCTCTGTTTAAATTATACAGAAGTCAACTCTTGGAGGTCCCTCTGAGCACTGCTCACAGCAATGCACAAGGTTAACTCAAGCAGATCTTCTGTATATTACCAATAAAAAGACCATCAGTGTCTCTGCTGCAACACTTAACTAACTGCCAGCTACCCAAAAGATGACCCACAACAAAGGCACTACAACCAAGTCCCATCTGTGTGAGCTCTGGATCTTTTTAACAAATCCATGCATCTCCTCCAGATCCCAGGAGCTTGTTGAAGTTGTGGAAGCAGCCCTGTGTGATTACACAAGAATATTGGCATGCATTAGCCTCTGGGCAAAAAATATCCTGGGTGTCACCACAGAGCCTAAGTAATGTTTGATTGGCCTTTTAAATGCTGAAAATAAAAGTAAAATTAGCAACCACAAATCTGTGGAGTAAAAACAATTTAAAACAAGTTCTCAGTGTCATATGAACGCAACTAAAAAATTTGCAGTGGTCAAGTATCAGCTCCAGGACTACCAAAAAGTTTTGCAGCAAGGATGCTTTATCAAATCATCAGAGTTGACAACGTATTAGGTAACAGCTCCTACCTTTCCTAACAATGCAGTCTGATCAATACTCCCAAAATTTCTGATAGTGCCAGATTACAATTAACTCTAATCCAACATCAAAGAAAATGCATGCAAGCCCTTGGTACTGAGGTTAAAGTTGTGCTCAGGTGATAATGCTGATTGCTTTTGAACTTGTTTTCAAGTAACTCTTTGGCATCTTGTGTGATACTAGAAAACAACATGGGGCTTAAAGACACAAGCAAACAGCTCAGATCTCTCTTTCAAATGTCGAACGTCAAACTGCCTCTAACCCAAGATTCACCCAGGAATCTCCCCTCCACTGAAGCTGCCTATGTACACAGAGGGGCATTTCCCTACATCCATCCCAGCCTGAGAGGTGTAACAGCCATCCCTCATTAGTAACAACAGATCCACAGGATCTGATCCTGCAGAAATGTGCTCTATATCACAGCCCCTGGCAGCTCATACTGCAGGTGAGGATTTTGAACAGCACAAGCTGTAACAACCACCTTTGGCTGTGCCCATTGACTTCCTTTCTGTTGTCCACAAAAAACTATCTCAGACTCTTTTTTAGCTGAATTTAGTGTCTTTAACTGCTTGATTACCAAAGAGGAACAAAAGATATTTCCTGCATATGAAGGCACTTGGATTAACCTTCATCAGGTGGGTCGAGCCTTGTGCTCTGAGTAAAATCCCTGAGGGCTACTCATGTGAACTGGTCACTTAGGGATAATGGAAATGCTTTTAGACAAGGCATATTTTTAAAGAAGTGACTGGCAGAGTGCACTACATAGGAATGGAAAGAATATACCCTGACACCACACACCCCTCTTACTCCCACTTTATCCATAGAATTGCAGCATCTTAGACTGGTTTGGGTTGGAAGGGACATTAAAGAATCCATTTTCAACTCCCCTGCCATGGATAGGGACATCTTCCACTAGGCCAGGTTGCACAGAGTTCCATCCAGCCTGCCCTGGAACATCTCCAGGGACAGGGAGTCCACAACCTCTCTGGCAAAAATTATTCTCAGTGAGAAGTCTGTAAAGTGCAGAAAGGAGCCAGAAGGCCAACTCAGCACTTTGAAATCAGTTCCTCTCTTGGGCTGCCAGCCATGCAGTGTAATGCTCTTCCAGATCTTGCATACATTACCTCCTCATGCAACACACAGCTGCAAAGCCAGCCAGTGACCAGCAATCCAGTATCTGCTGGATCTCACTGTGTAGTCCACAGCTCTCCCTGGCAGAGCACTGTGGCTGCCTGTTTGGCAAGAGGTTTCACATTTTTCAGCCACGAACATTAAGGAAATCAGAGGAAGGTTGTGAGATGGAGATGTGGTCAGCCCTGGTGTGCCAGGGGACAGGAGCCTTTGCTTTTAGAGGCTGCTTGTTTTAATGATGTGGGAAATTCTCAGGCATCCAAAGGAAATGAGATCCTCTAGCAAAACAGCAGTACTGGACTCCAGTTAATAGTGCTGTCTTGCACAGCTATGTGGGTGACTGTGCTCCTATTGCCAAGTAACTGCTCTGGCAAGGCTGGGTTTTGGACACAAAAGCAGTCCTTTCTCTGAGCTCTTGGAGGGGACCCAACTGTTCTCTGCAGTGGGAAAACAGAACTGGGGAAGGGGGGAAGGAATGGACTTAAAAAGGGAGAATAAACCAGAAAGATCTTCAAGGCAGAGTGCCTCAAAGAGTCACATTTAGGTAAACAGAGAAGTAACATGGTCTCTCTACAATAATGAAGATGCTGTGTGATTCCAAATCCTGTGGGCCTGGATTGATCTTGGCCCCAGGAATCACTCCCTGTCCACCACAGCACTGACATTTCCCCTCCATGTCTTTGATATTGACTGACTGCTTTTGAAACTCAGACTCAAACAAGAGCATTACCATGATCACCACTACTTAGTGATGATCAGAAGCACGACAACTGCAAGGTAAAAGTAAAACACGAACACAGGAATTTGCTTACTGTGTTTGTTTTTCTTCTCTGGCAGAGGTGGCGGCTTTTCTGGGTCACTGTTCAAATCTGGAGCAACAAAATCAGCAATGAATTCCACTGGTGCTGAAGAGTTTCCCTGCTGGAAAGGCAGAACAGCGGCAAAGGGCGTGAAGGGCATTGACGGGACAACCACAGCATTCTGCAGGTCATCCTCGGAGATGTTGTCATACTGGGAAGGGTGCCTCTCGTAGGACACCCTGCAGCCAGAGTTATCCAAAGTCTGTGAGGCTGCACTCCTCCTCTTCTTCTCTGGTAGAGCTGGGGGAGTCTCTGTTGGCTGTGCTGCTCCCGAGAGGCTGCAGAATTCTGGTGGAGGAGAGCTGCCCTGCGGGAGCTGGAAAGTGTGTCCGTGGAAAGGGGAGCCAGACTCACCCAAGGACTCTGGCAATGGGCTGAGGACACCTGGCCCCTGCTGAGGTATCTGATCAGCGTTGGAGAGGTCCTGCTGCAGGAATTCATAGTCTGGATCATAGTGATCTGATTGATCTGGGTAAACAGAAAATGACCTATTAGTTTCTGTCTTTTATTGTCTAGTCCTCAGTTCTGTCCCTCCCATTCTATCAGTTAATTAATCAGCTCATTTTAATCAGAGTGGAACTTCCTCGCAGCTGGGACCATCTTTTTTACACCTTGTGTAACACCCAGACTTCTTTTTTGTAAAGAAATTAATTCTTCACACTAGCAAACAAGTAACAAAAATTCAATAGGTGGATGACTGCAGGCATAATTTGTGTCACATTTATATTTTTATTTTCTTTCCTCACATGTAGAAACAACACTGCTTTGGTCTACCAGGACAGTCATTTCTGCAGACAGAGCTGAAATGAAGAAAACATTCCACTTGAGTGCTGAACTGAGTTTGAGAACATCACCTACAGCAAGGGAAACACATTCCCCGGGGTTTTTTCCTCTGCGACAGAACAGCTCTGCACTGAACCGCCTGCAGCAACTCCAAGACAGCAGCTGCAAGTGCAGTGCATTTACTACATCAACTGCTACACCTCAGCTCCCAAATGAGAGGGACAGGGCCCCAGCAGCCCCCCTTACCCAGGGTTTCACAGCTTGTGTTGCGGGAGCACTGCCCGCTGTCGCGGTCCAGAGACGAGAGCTGCTCGTCAGACTTGCTCAGTTTGCCGATGCTGCTGCACGGAGAGAGGCGAGGAGACTCCCCCCCATAGGAGTGGCTTCCACCTGACAACCTCCTCTGGGCATAGCAGTCAACATCAAAATCCTTCAAGACAAATAAAAAGTCAAAAAAGAATCAAATCACCATCACTCTTGGCAGCCTGCTAGTGAGGAAGATGCAGCTCCAGTAGCAAAGACCTCAAGGGAGGGGAGAGGATAAGTGCTGCTGGCCCTCTCTGAACTCATGGAGAACACAGAAACCCTCTGATCTGGTAAACAGCCCATGCCAGGGAGCTCTGTGTGTTCTTGATCTCGAGCAGGAGTTGCTGTGGCCCACACTGGACTTTACAGATGCTGAGAAGATGACCAAGCTCTTCACAGCTACGTGTGTCTGATGACTGCTTGTCATGACACTGAAACAACGGAATGACACTGCAAGATTTCCATGACATACCTGGGGCTTTAGCAAATACTTGGTTACCTCAGGTGCATGCAGAAGAAAATTAACTACAGAGAGATACAACTTTCTGTGCCTATGGCTATGGTCACACTTCAGGAATTACCTCAAGCTTATTAACCTGTGTGTGAACCCCTCTACTATTCTCACTCTGTCAGAACAACCTCAGTGTGACTGTAGAGTGGCCACAGCTTTATCTGAGTCAGCCAAATGACTGTAGAGGCTTCCTAAGTCAGAGCTGAGGCTTTGGGGATGAGGACAAGATTTGATTTTTGTGCAATTTCATATGATTCAGGTCCTCACTGCTGAGCTAGTAAGTTCCTGAATGGGTAAAGCAAACCTAGCCATTTACAACCTCAGAAATCTCAGACAAACACAAGAAATGGAATGTGATTAACTCATACAACTTTCCCGTTTTTCTACCAGAAAATGTACAAACTTCCCCAAAACACCAGCAGCAGTCAGAGCAGTAGCTCAAACTACTGCTTGAGTTAAAAGATGTTTTAAATTGTGACTGGATGAAGACAGACTTCTGATCTCACTCAGCCACATGCTCCCTTGGCCTGTGAATAAACCCCAGTGAGATCTCAGGGAGCTCAGCCAGCTGCTGTCCCCTTATCTATTGGACATGGCAACACTCAGGCACTGCCATCCTCACACTCTGCTACCCCTCAGGGCAGCAAAGTTTGCAGCAAGTTGTTAATTAAACACAACAACACTGTAAAAAAAAAATAAAAAATTAAGCCGTTCACATTATTTACAGCAATGCTGTTCCTGCCACTGCCACTCCCACTGCAGGCTGCCTGCGCTGGGCTGTTTGGGATGAGCAGGGACATGCAGGGATCTGTGTGGCTGCAGGTCACAGCATCTCCCTGAGCTTTTCCTCCAGTTCACAGCACGTTTCCCTTGGCTTTCACAAAGACATTACCTGTCTGTTGATCCCAACAGGCAAACTGGATCCACTGGTAGCTCGGCTCATGGGGGCCACAACAGCCACTCTGGTTGGGGAAGGTGCTGACTGACGTTTCTTAGGGGGCAGTGCTGGTGGAGGGCTGCAAGACACAACAGGAATTGATGCTTCCATCACTCTTCTAGAAAAAATATTTTTTGAGGCTTCACAAGTTGTTTTCCAGAAAGCTTTTGTCAGCCAGGAGCTATTCAGCAAAATGTATCCATTAAAAATATCGATTTCAGAATACTCTCACAGGTAAGGTCCTGTTAAATGATTTATTTTTTAAAGTTGGTATTTCCCAAACAAAAACAAATGCTGTTCTAAAAAGTATTTTTAATGGAGCTAATTAGCATGGTAATTATTTCTTAATAAAAGCAGTGAAAATCCAAATTAAATGTTTTGGTTGACCCAAATATTGCTTCCATTCACAGAAGTCCCTCCCCCTCAAACCTTCCAGGTCTGAAAAAAGCTCAAAGTTTCACAAATTTACAGGACAGGAAAATTCTCTTTTTTGGCCTTTCCTTTCTTGGTGAACTTTGGGGAACAAAAGGGTCAGAGCTGTTCTCACCACATGCACTGTGAGAGCCCCCCCCCAATATTTTGGCATGAATCTCTGTCAGACCAACACATTTGCAGTAACTTGTGAGAGTTTAACCTTTTGACTTTTAGTTTTTGCTTCTAATGACACACAATTCTGGTAGTCATCAAGCCTGAGAAGTCCCCAAGAGCACACAGTCTGTTCTTGGAACATACCAGGAAATTTTTATATAATCTTTGAGAATTCATAAAATACACAGAAATGTGATTCTTTTTGTCAGCCACAGCCCTTGATGCCGCGTTTTCAAATTAACACAACACGTATTTTTCACACCAGCCATTAGCACCAGTACTAGAGAAGGAAAAACAAAACACATGCACAAAAAACTTGCAAATTGGGGGTTTTCTCTTCCTTCTCAAAATAGCACATAGAAACTTTCATGTGGTTACTCGTAGAACAGGGTAAGAACAACCAAGCACAAGGTTTTTTTCCCACACTCTTGGCTTTCACTCTTAAGCTGTTAGACAAAGCTGAACAAACTGCCTGTGTAGGACAGATTGGCAACTGCCCCCCGAGGTTAAAAGAACATTTCCCACTGGATATAGCAACCCAAGACACTTGTACAGTGTGGAATTCACATAGTTTTACATATTTTTATGTTTTTGTATTTCATTACAGATTTATGTGATGCCTCTCATGTGTGGATGTCAGGGCATGGCACTATGCTCACATAAAAAGTAGGAAAGGAAAAAACACAAAAAATAATGAGACAGAACATAAAGTAGAGTCCAGGAGCAGGGAAGAAGTACTCTGGAGGGCTGGAAATTCAAAAGTAACACCAACTCTCCTCTCTGGTGCACATTTTGCAAGGTTGTTTAAAAACCAGGCTGGTAAAAGGCACAGGTGTTCTTCAGTCAGCTGACTGGTCAGCATTACCTGTTCTCTGCCACACGAATGCTGGGCAGAGGGGGTTTAGGAGGTGCAACTTCTTCATCCATGGAGTCAGTCAGCAGCTCGTTGGATTGTGTCAAATTAGTTGTTTTGTTGAGGATCTCCATTTCTCGGTCAGTAAGGGGAAGTTCTGATGGGCTGCAACATGCAAAACAGAGATTGTAGATCATAAACCACAGCTGGAATGTAGCCCTGACAGATTCAAACCTATTTTAAATCATGTGCTCTCAGACACCTAGAGCAGAAGGCAGAATTTGCATCTGCAGGTGGAATTCCATGTATATGCAGAGCTCAGTGTGCATGTGACACAAAGGGATGTTGCACTGCCAGATTTTGGTGTCTTTCCTATCATTTCTCTCTTCAGTGATCCTACTGATGGGGGACCACATGAAGAACACTACACCACCCTCTGTAAAGAACAGCTGAATGATTTAACTCAACTGTCAGCAGTCAGAAATTATCCCTTCAATATCAGTCCTGCCCACAGAAGAAATCAGTGACCCACCTGTCAGATTTACATGCTGGTAAACTGGGTTTAACTGGGCTTGTGGGAGAGGGATGCTCCTGCTTTTCAATCGTGAGTCTGACCAGCTCCTGATGGATGGAGAGAAGAAAAAGAGAATAATCACAATTTGCTGAATGCTGCACTTAAACATCCCAGAACACAAAGGGATGCTACAGCAGCAAAGTCTTGGTTATGGTTTAATGATGGTATGGACACAGAGAGATCTGAGCTGGGTTTAAGTCTGGTACAGAGCCACACAAATGATGCAGAACAGCTACTAAGGAGCAGCCTGCACCCAGAGGAAGTTTAGGCAGTATCTGAGTGAAGTTCATTACCCCTGACTGTATGGTGATTCTGCACAAAACCCACATGTGTGTCTTTTTGCTGTGCTTCCTCTTTATCTCACAAATGTGTTCCAGTCCACACAAAACCCTAGATAAATGGCAAATTTGCTTTACACACACAGATGTAAGTACAAAACAGTCTTACCCAGTGGAGTACTTCATCTAGCCAAAACCAACATTAAATAATTGCTTTTTATTTTTTATATTTTATAAATAAGAATGTATTTGTTCCAAAAAGCAAGTTTTCTGTAAAATGCCCAACCAAAAATTAAACAGTAAACACCTCTGTTAAAAGGCCTGCTTCCCCTGAAGCCACCTTTTAACACATTAGCAATAGGAGACTTAATCATTCAAGGAGCTACTGTGGTGTATCTGTTATAGGCAGATAAGGCTCTGGATAAAGAGATAAAGGCATGATAATCCTGAACTCTAAGCCTGCCAGCAGTCAAAGCAACAATCATTCACACCAGAAAGATGGAGAGAACATTTTATGGATGTCTGAGGCTGACAAATAGATCTCCTCCTCACAGATACAACAAACACATGCCCCTCTTACAGGCAGGCTGGAAAACTGGCAGTGCTTCCTGTCACTGTTGGCTTCCCAGCATATTACACAAAGGAAACTATAAAGGATCAATTTTAATTTAATTTTTTTTTAAAGCAGCCTGAAGTACAGTGTCATCATTCCAGTATAATCTTTGTGTCCTTGTCTGTGAAGCTTGGAAAAAACTGGCATTGTTCTCTCAGTGCAGTAGCTGCAACTGGAATGTCATTGCCATCATCCCTCTGAGGAAGGAAAATACTCCAGTTCTGGTAGTTTTACATAAGGTTCTACTGCAAGCTGAAACTCCATGGGGTAACACACACACAATGAGAGGAATAAGCAGCAAACACCATCCAAGTGTCCACCAGAGCTGACTTGGGTCTCTGTACTCTACTCACACTCTTGGTGTGAGCTGGTGCTCCAACAGAATGTACACTGTGTTACCCAAAACCAGGACAAACTCAGCTTTCCTGGGAACATCCCACACAGAGGGAAAGAAGAGAGCACAAACAGATGTCCATGGGGACTAAAACTGTGAAGATGTCCCTGCTGGGACAGAGAGCCCTGGTGAGGAACAGTGTGTTCTGAGGAGTGACCTGATGAGTAACATCACTCGACTCTTTCGGCATCACGGGGCTGAGTGATGACACAATGGATTGCCACCTTTCTGCCCTCTGGACAAAATCCCACTGCTGAAAAGGTTTTTGGACACCCTCATGCACTTTAACAGACTCAGGGTTAGACCCTGTGGGCCAGGGAGGACTGCAAGGGAGCACAGAAAGGGAAATAAAATATATGGGCATTCAAACCAAAAGCCAAAATACTCCTTAAACATCTCCCTGAAAAGGCTATGGAAAGGAAAGTGTAATGTCGCCTTTTCATGACCTTTCTTCACCACCTTAGAGCAAAGCCAGGCCAACACTGCAGACTGTGGTGGAGGCTGTGCCACAGCAGCGCTGAGGAGCCCCAGACACTCGGGGCTGAAGTGCTCAGTTTTCCTGTTTTGCCAGTCATGATGGACACACAGTTGTCTACCACATGGGAATGTAGGTTAAAACAGGAGAAAACCAATCCAGTTTGGCTCGGAATTATTCAAACAATTGGGACTAGAGGGAAAAAACCTAAAGCACCTTCCAGCAGAGGTACCAAAGCAATGCATGATTGCAATTACCTGAGAGGATCACTTTCCTTTCCAACTTTGACAAATATCACCAGACCCTGAATGTTTCTCCTCTCTGCTGTCCCAAAAAGGAGAACTAGCATTTGGAAATCAAGCCAAAATCCTTAGCATACACACAGACGTAATCAGCACGCAACTGAGCCAGATGCACATTATGCTATTCCTTATCAGCAAGGAAAGAGATTCCTGCAGCAGTAATTAGAGATAATTAAAGCCTCTCTACGAACTGTGCTACTTCAGCAAGCTGAAAATTCCACAATGAGATGGATTTTTGAGAAGTTATGTAATCAAACCAAGGATTTTTTTCTCCTGCCTGGCAAAGCTCTAAAACCTGAGATCAAAATATCAAGTAACAGAGGTGAACAAGAGTCTCCTTTATGCTTAATTCTGAAAATAAAGAAGTAAGCACTGAAATACGGAAGCAGATCTTGTGTGATCTGCCAGAAAAACAAAATAGGCTCTGCTTTGGAGAGAAGTGTCCATCTTTTCAGTTCTGCAATGTGGCTTGGCCTTCCTAAAATAAACCTTGTTCCTTGCTGTGCAGGAGGTGAAAGCACACTGCTTCCAAATGCTGACCTCCTGATGGGCAAATACTCTCCCATCTCCCCAGACAGCCACACATCTGCTCTAAGGCTGACCAGACATGAGCCAGCTCCAACTGGAAGGCCAAAATAACTTTCAGTCTAAAAACAAAGCAGAGATTAATACAGCCATGCTGCTGAGCAGGGCTCCACAGCTCAGACCCAGCACTGCATGGACAAGCCCATGTTGCAGGCCACAGCTCTGGCTGAAAGACAACAGCTACCAAGGGTTGAAATATTGCTTGAAGTCACAGAACAATGAATGTCCAAGTCTCCTGCAATGAGATCACACAACTCTGTTCCAGATCTGAGGATAACACATTTCTCCCTGGGACTGTGCAGATTCAGCCAGTGATAACTCACCATTTGCTAGGGAATTACAGTTCAGATACCACAGCACAGATATTCACATCCTGAAAATTGCTGCTGAATTCCAGTGCTAACAGCAGCTGAGATTTTAGGCTAAACTCTTTTCCTCTTTCCTGCTGTGCAAATTTAAGACCAGCTTTATTTTTAAAATGTGTAGCTTAAAGTTAAAGAGCATATTGTGCAAAATAATCCTAGAAAATCCATCTTCTATAGGTGATAGAAATGATTTGTTTGAAAGATATTTATTTAAAAGGCTCATAAAGTAGATAGTAGTATCTTAGTATCTGTATTTGAGTAACATTAAAGAGATATCCAGATGATGCAGACATCAAACCAAGAGGCCTGAAAATGAGACAGTCAAAGCTTGGGAGATCCACTTCATTTTTGCATTTGCCTCCATTTTATAAAACTGAAAACAGTGAAAGATACTTGGTTCTGATACATAATTCCAGGTGAAACACCTGCTGCAGTTCTTAAAACTCTATCCCAACTTTCCTTGTGTAGTTGATTTAAACATTCCTCTTCAGATTCAGCCCTGCTCTTAAAAGAGATTTAACTTCCTCTACAGTTTCCAAAATAAGATTCCTAGGAGATATGACAGTCCACTGGTGCCCTGAGCCCAGGTCAACCAAACTTTTACCAGCAGTGCTAGGACAGGTGAGTGATCACCCCAGAGACAAGCCTGGGACACAGAAATAATGGGCACAAGAACCTTACCATGAGGCAGAAGAAAAGCCAACAGCTTTTCCAGGGTGGAACAGGGAGGGAATGCTACAAGCAGATCTGACAATGGATACAAAGGTTTCTGTTAAACATGTCCATTAGCAATGCAAAACTAATCTCCAGAAAACTGAGTTTAGCTCATCACCTGTTCCACACCCTAATCCAGCTGCTGGAAGTGGTGATGTATCACTGACAAACCCATTGAAATCTCTCTTAAAAGATGGAGATGGAGTCTTTCATTCTCTGTGGGCATTGACAGGGAGCATTTTCATTTTATTTTGCTGAGACAGAAAATGTGCAAACCACGTCTTGTAATCTGCATGGGAGACTGGGAATGACTTGCTGAAAATTTAATACAATGCTGAATAAAGATCCATTGCTTCTTCCAATTCATCCAAATGCCAGGGTGAGCATGCCAGAAGTTCACATTCAGAGCCAAACTATGCTAGTCTTTAACCAGCACTCCAAGAAAGAACATTTAATTTATGGAACATTTGATTTAAGGGGTAGTTTACTGAAGGCAGAAATAGGGTCTTCATATTTTACCTGCTCTTAAAAACACAGTTTACACAGATCTCTTCTAAAATACATTATTATATATTCTTTATAATAAAATTTACAGCATTTGTCTCATGTACCTTGACTCCATCCAGAACAGCTTTTATGACATCCTTCACTGTTGTCACCATCTCCTTGTCCTCTGAATTCACCCCCTCCAGCATCACCTGATCAGACCAGCGGATGAGGTTGGCCAGGCTCTGGTACACTCGGCTGTAGCAGGATGAGATGGCAGAACTGCACAGCAGGACAGGGAGCAGTTGAGAAAAAAAGAAAAAAAAGAAATTTTGGCGATATTATCAAATGTCACAAGAGTGAGCTTCACACTGTGCATTTCACTGCTTTGCTCTCTGACACTCAGAATTTGTGCTGAGCAGGTGACAAAGCTCAGGCTTCTCCTCCAGTGCAGCTGCTCCCCTGTTCTCTAACACCAAACAATGACAATTTGAAGGTACAAACCATCAACAGCTCATTCCCAGGTATCAGAAGGAATTATCTGAGATGCAGGTTAACACAGCAATGCTAAAAATAACATTCTTTACATCTTAATTTACAGCTCCTTCCTGTGCCTTAACTTTAAAGATAAGTATTTAAGCTCTACAATTAAGTTATGTTATTTCAGTATTATCCTTCTTCCTTATTAGCTCTCCCCAAACCACCTTGGATCACTGAGAGCTGACTCTACTCATTCCTTTACAAATCACTGCCTCACTGTTTACAATGCCTGAAAACATGTAATTAAAATTACTTCTTTAGAGAAATTGAACTGAATGAATTTCAGGTTTGAAAGAGGAAGGGTGTTGCTCTGTTTTGTTTTTAATGAGAAACAGAATTGAAGCTATTGTTCTGAAGGGGAAAAAAAAAAAAGTTTTGGAAGGATGACAACTTTAAATAAAAGTTAACTGTAACAACAGTGCTCCCAGGCATTTTCCTGGCCATTCTGAAAACACTGACTTCATTACTAAACAAGGTGTGTTAACAGTACTGCTGATGGCAACACTTCAGCAACTCTTTGTCACGTTAAATCAATTTCAAACTGCATCAAAACCATAAACAGATAAGAGAAGGTGTAATCTTGCAATCATTACTGATACAAGTTGTTCCAAATCTTCCCATTTCTCTCTGGTATCCATTTTACATTGGCTTAACTCCAGTAACTTCATTATCTGTGAGAAAAGAATCAAGCCCAGGAGCTCCAATGAGTTTATTTAGGTGAATGAGGTTTGCAGGACTGGGGAAAAGAACTACTGTCAAGTTACAAAACAGAGGATACAAACAATGGCAAGGACTTGATTGTTTGGTTGTTGTTTGGTTGGTTTTTTTTAAGGTTTGCTGCTTGCCATTTGTTCTCATATCAAATGAAATTAGCTTGATAGGAGGTATCTCCTAAACAGGGCCCTCCCCCATCTCTTTCTAAGGCTTTGATTTCATTGCCATGAATCTTCAGTCTGCTTCCTTCTAAGAAGGCAGTAATTGAAAGCCCATTTTGTACAAGATTTAATTACTTTTTTCCTTGATGCAAATGCTTCCCCTAAAGTAAAAAGAACTCAAACAATAATTGTAGGGCTTTCTTTGTCACTGACACAAGTCTTGCTCACTTTTCTTGCCATCAGAATCACCCCTTTGTGTCCTGCCACTGAGGCACACAGGTAGGGAGAGAAGGACGTGGCTTTTTGATAAAGCCAGATCCCCTTTTGGGATTTTTGGGAGGCTAAGTGAGGCAGGGCATGGACATGGGATTTGTGCTTTAATGCACTCTGTTCCCAGAGAGACTTATCACTGTGTAGAGGACATTCCCATTCCAACAGATTTGCTCACTATGGTTCAACAGATCCAACCTCAACTGGATCTTACCTGTCCCAGCCACAGGTGTGATACTCACCCATTTCCTCCTTCCTTTTGCCAGAAGCAGCCCTGGCCTCAGCACTGGGGCCAAACACAACTGAGCATCTCTGTTTGCAAAGTATTTGGCACCCCAGTGCTACTTCAACTACATGATAAACCTTCCCTGTGCCAACACTAAAATAAGCCTCTTGGAAGGAAAAAATTTGGAGATATTTAATGGGAAAACAAATAGGAACAGCACAAAAATTGGCAAGATTTCAGGAACCAAACATCTGCATTTTTCTGCTTAGTTCTGTGCTTTTCTCTATGTTAACTTTGCTCTTTCAGTGTTATTCAACTATGTTTGTTTGTTTTCTGTAAATCAACTGCTCCAGCATCCATGGGATGAACACCAACAATATCTCTATGGCTTGGCAACACCACAAATTCCTATAATCCATGCTGAGCTTTGCTTTGGCAAATTTCTACTTCTTTCCTGGCTTCAAACCCACTGCCTAACCGGTAAAAACATAATACACATAATCTGTTAAAACATAAAACAATAATCTGTTGAGTGCAGCAGGAATGAACTTGGACTGGTTAATCTGCTGAAGTACATCTATTTACTTCTGTATCTGATCCAGTAAAATCCAAAAAAGCAGTTAAGAGTGCAGGCTCAGACTTCTATAATATCAGGGTGGATAAATTAAGCACAAAAAAGGATTACTTAGAAGATAAACTCCTTTTTCAGGTGAACTTATTGGATTTGTTAGCTTTTAGGATACCACCATGGACTGCAGAAACAGGAATACCATCTGAAGAGAATGTCCCTCTAGAAAATGATGAATTTCCAAGTTTATGCTAAGAACCGTCCCTTCCTTCACTCTGAAAGCTGCCTGATTTGCTTTATCTTTCCACGACATGTGCTTCTTCACAGCAGGGAATCTGCTTTTAAATGGTGTCTGAAAATCACCACAAAATTAATAAAAACAGCAGTCACTTCATCAGCATCTTCTGCACGAGGCAGTTCTTCAGATAAAGAAGGAGCCTGTTGATCTGCCATGATCCCAAAATCCAAGAAGGAAACTCACCTTTGCTGGATGCGTGGGTCAGTTTGCACCAAGGGCAGGATGGCTTCCAGCACTTTACTTGCTGATCCTGGCAGCATCTCTAATACTTTGTTATCAATTGCCATTTTGTCCACAATAGTCTTAAAGTAGCGCAATGCACTAACAACCTCCTTCTCCTTTTCCTCTAGCCATGATACATTCTAAAGAGGAGGGAAGAAAAGGAGAGATAAGTTAAAACTTGAGTATTTTTAAGGGCAGGATTCCTTTAAACAACCTGAAATAGGTGACACTGAGGTGTATTCCAGGAGGATTGGAAAAAACCTCTTCTACCACAAACACTTTTAAATTGAATTACTGCTCTTTCAAAGGAATAGTCAGTGCAAGATTACACCCACACTTTAATCTTCAGAATTACCTGCATTCCAAACTGAAGGCTGATCTTGATCAGTTTTAGGCTAAGATTAGCACCACTGATGACATCAAGGACACTGTTTTGAAACCTACACCTTAAACTGGGACAGTGAAAGAAAAAACATTTCATGGAAAAGTTTGGGTTGGAAGGGACCTAAAGCCCATCTCCACCCCCTGCCATGGCAGGAACACCTTCCACTATCCCAGGTTGTCCAAGCCCCATCCAACCTGGCCTTGGACGCTTCCAGGGATGGGGCAGCCAAAGTTGCTCTGGGCAAGCTGTGCCAAGGCCTTACCAACCCTCATCGGGAAGAATTTCTTCCTAATATCTAACCTAAACCTGCCCTTTGTCAATTTAAAGGCAACACCCCTTGTCCAATTGCTACATGTCCTTGTAAAATAGATGAAAATATCCAAATAAACTCTACTCTGATGAGCCTCCAACCGAAATAATTTTGTGATGCTGCTGGAACAAGAGAACTCACACAATTTCCATGAGGCCCAACTGTAAAAGCAAAGTTTTGGCACTGGTGAATGGATGTTGCAGAAGGGAACAATTCATTGGAATAAAGCTGAGTTGTGGTCACCAATTTTTGTGCCACCACCAACACCAGAGGAGGAAATTCAGAAGTGATACATGATACCTCAGGGCATTCTGGACAGGGATATTTTTTAAAAGTTTACAACAGTATGCCTGGAGGACTTTTAATGCCACAAGTAGTTCCTAAGGGAGATTTAAATTAACGACTGAACACTGCTAGAAAAGGAGCAGAGAGCTTAGCAGAGTCAGATTTCATCCATTATCTCCTCAGTAAATTCAGCTTCAAGCATTAATGACCTATGGGCATTGTGTGCTCCCCATATTCTTGTCAGCTGTTAAACTGCTGCTTTTCTGCAAAATCAGGCCAGCAGCACAAAAGGTTTTAAGAAGAACAATTTACAGACAGCACTGGTTAGTAATTTGGGGCCAGTTGCATAAAAGGATTAGAATCCCAAATTCCATCTATCTCCAACTTCAGAAGTCTAAGTCCCAATCCAAGAACTGCAAACCACCCTGTCATTTTCTGTCTCATCTGGGCAGTGCCCAAAATCTGCTGCTGGTTGCCCTCTGGGCAACATTCTTGCCAGGAACCTCAAGTTATGATCTACAACCCACAGTGCCCTGAACTCCCTTGCTGAAGAGCATCCTGGCAACTCACTGGGATAAAAAATGACATTTCCCATTCTGCAGGGATGCAGCCCTCACCACTGCACAGTTTATTCCAGGATATAGAAACATTAAAACATTAAGGCTGGAAACGACCTCTAGGATCGCTGAGTCCAACCATTAATCTATGGAGAGCCTCGGCCTCTCCCAAGAAGATTTTGCACTTCATATGAAATGATCACACATTTTAGGGATCAGAGAGTCTGTAAATTCCCTGGGTGAGTACAACCATGGCCCAACAGTCAAAGCTCTCAAACAGAAGTGAAAAAATGTGGACTGCAGTTCCTGCTCCAATGGCTGTTTATGGGCTTCATTCAACAACTGTTTCCTGTAGAAAGGCTTGTGACTTAATAGCTTAAACACTCTCCTGGTGCACAGGAGGGATGGGCCTGACAGAGTTCAGGCCTGAGAATGACAAATGGAAACAAAAATCCTTCCACTGAGCACATCAAGGGATGTGACTCCAGCCACCGGACACTGTCTGTGACACAGCCCTTTTTTCCCTTTTTGATTTTTTTCCCCTGCTAGTTCTTTGGGTAACACTCCCCAGGAGCACTTTTTAATGAATCCTCCTCCAAGGTCCCAAGGTATCATATGCAGGTGTGTGTAGGTGTGCACAGAGCCATGGAATGCTTTGAGTTGGAAGGGACCTTAAATCTCATCTCATCTCATCTCATTCCACCCCCTGCCACAGCTTCCACTAGACCAGACTGCCCCAAAGCCCTGCCCAACCTGCCCTGGAACACTTCCAGGTTTGAGGGAGCCACCCCTTTCTCTTCTGGGCATTAAACAAGAAAAAGCTACAACACAGGCAAAACAGCATCTCCTCTCCACTCCCTGCCTAACACATATAGGTATTTTTAGATGATTTCTGAAATTTTCCCTTAATAATCAAATTGCAAATGCATCATGTGTGAGACACAGCTGACCCAGAAAAGGTCAGAATGAGCTGTACAGAATACACCCAATTACAAAAGCTGGAATCATCCTTTTTTTCCTTACATTTTGGCAGTGTAAAACCTCTCAAAAGTCTGTATATAGCACTGAAGGACACTACAGCTCCTACAATAGGATAAGAATCACAGACAGGGTTCAGGGGACAAAAGGAGGTTCTGAAAAGAACTCCCCCAGTGTTGCCCCTGTCTGGATATAAAAGAGAACAGGAGATGATGATGTTTGCATGACCTGAGCACATCCTTCAGCTTACACATCGTGATTTTACATTAACTTTTAGTATTTCTATTTCTGCTCTGCAGTGATTATCTACTTCAAGAGCACAAAAATAGCATCTTAAGAGGGAGAAAAGGATGGTATTTGGTTTATCAAGTGAGTCTTCTGACAGAAAATCGCCCATTTGTCAACTGATGTCTATATTCCAGTGGGAAAACCTGGTGACAATCCAGGCACATCCTCTTCCCTACTCCCTCCACACAAAGCTAATGAGTTGACTACATCCAACTAATTGATTAGTTGGACGTAGCTATTAAAATAGGTAAGGAATGAGCCAGAAATCAACAATATTTCACAGTATAAAAATGAATGCTGCTTAAATAATCATATACAGTAATAAAAAATACTGTGAGTGTTTTGTTTTCCAATTAAAAAAAAATCCCAATCTGTACATAAAAAATGATTTTAATGTCCAGCATGGCTTATTAGTAAATCCTCTTGCACTGTTTTTAGGGGAAAAATAGAAAAGCAAAATCTTCATCTATTATTAACATGCATTTGCTATAGACCACATTTTGAAAAGGGCTCTTCATTTTCTAATATATTTAATGTGGTCACATATCAATTTAAAGTAAGGCCTATAAATTATTTCAAGATACCATCCTGAAACATCATTGGAATTAAAAGCCATCAAGGAGTACTCTCACTGTTACTTTAGTTTTGCTTTTGTTTTTTTTTTTTTTAATTTTATTTTTAAATAGCACCCAGTAATGCAAGGTGTTTGGCTCCCTAGAAAGCATTTCCACAGCCTCCTGGGGAAAAAACTTACAGCCTGTGGAAAAAGCCCTCATCATCTTCCACCTGATGGTGCAGAAAAGGGTGAGGAAGCACTGCAGAAACCTCTCTGGGAGTCAAGCAAGTCACATAGCCCAAGAAAACTTTATCTTGCTGGCTGCTCTCAGTAACTCTGCCACAACTCTCAGCAGAGACAATCTGAAAAATTCTGCATGTCTGGAGGTGCACACTGGATGAGACTTTTAACAGCTGAGAATGATGTTTAGTTATTCTAAACAACCTCAACTGTTCTTAATTTCTGGCTTGATTTGTATTTGAAAACTGATTGCAACAGTGCTGTCACAGAGACAGTCTCCAGCTACATAATCAGGACACAATAGGAGAGAAGATAACACAGATCAGTTTGTGACCTCATTTCTTAGAGGGCCTGGAGTACATTTGGTCTGAGGAACATTGTGCTGGATCAGCAGCTGCTCAAACTCTTCTGTGTGACTCTCCCAGCTTGTGTCATCAGAGATCCAGCACATCTTTGGATCAGCTTCAAGGATGTTCCTGCCTGGGTCTGGGGTTTTTAAAAGGATCACACCCCAAAACCAGGCAGCTATTTGGAGGCTGTAAGCATAACTCACAGGGTGTGCATCTGGGGAGGATGTGTCAGGCCATACACCACGTTCCACAATGAGTTATTTAAATGCCTGTGGAAGGAGGTCTCATCATGCTCTCCAAAGGGAATCACATGTCTTGATTTAATACTACATAATGCTGTTTATAGGTAACCATGAAGTGACCCTGAGAATCCCTGAGCTGCAGAATTATGCACAGAACAAGTTCACACAGCAGATTATGATAAACTGAGTACCAGGAAGCAAGAAAGCTGAGGATAACAGAACATGGCCTTTGCTTACTTTGTTCACTGACTTCTCTGGTGTTTTCACTGTCAGGTCAGCTTGCTTTCCTTTCTTTGAGGGTGTTCTCTTTATTTTTGGTGAATGAAACTTGCCCTTCAACTTCATCGTGAATGAGGAGAGATGGGAACGCTCAGAATCTAGAAAGACACAGAAAAGCATTACTGGATTAGGGTAAATATATTGAAACCAGGGGCATGTAATAGTATTATCTGGAAGACACTTGTACCACGTAAATTTACTGAGTGGAACATGATAAAAGAAAATTAATAAACTGTGGCTCTATATTATGTTTCAAACCACAATACCACCATAATTTCCTGCTTTCCTCAACCACAACATCACCATAATTTCCTGCCTTCCTTGGAGACAGGAATGCTGCAAAGCGGAGGCAGGAACAGTGGGGCTGCTACTGCTCTGTGCCTTGGAGGGAAGAGGAAAATCACCTCTCTTCGAAGCACTTATCTCCAACAGGTCCCCAAGTACTTTACAAAGGAGGCAATCATCGTGCCTCTTTGGCAGATGAGCAACTGAGTCAAGGGGCTGAAGTGACTCGACCTCTGGCAGAGCAAAGCCCTTGGCTGTGGGTCAGTGCTGGGAGAGCTCTGCCTTGCACTGGGACCTGGCTGCTCCAGAGATGGAGAACACAACCCCAGGTAATGCCCTTCCCAGGATGCTGACCTCTAGCCACTCAGCAGCATCAATTTTTAATGTGGCCCCATGGATAACCTGATCAAAAATGCCAGCCCTTGTACTCTGCAATGGATTTCACTTCCAGTGTGCCAGAAAACACAGAACAGAGGAACTGCTTTGATACCAGGGCATCCTTCAAGATGCTAAACTGCAGAAGTGCTCAGCCCTTTTAAAAATTGTATTTTCATTGTTTTTTGAATACCTAAAACTAGAAGTCTCAAAGGTTTGCAATCATGCCATATGCAGGCTTACTGTGGAAATACATTTTTATCTGTTTAACTATGAAGCTAAGTAAAACTAAGCTGCCTTGTAGAGAGCAATTTAGAAAGTATTTTGAGCAAAGAGCACTTTAATAAATGAAGGTCTGAGTTGCTCTCTAGTGACCCAGATAATTCAGCAGAAGTTACCCAATTTGTCTGTAACTACATTATCAAGAAAAGTACACAGTTTTGCTGTATGTTTAATTTTTCTTTTAGATTATTTGAGCATTAACTGCACTGGCTGTAATGAGTCCAGAGGACAGCCCAGTGCATGCAGCACTGCAGCACCTCGTTAGCATGCAGACTGCAAACAGCAGAGGCTGCTGAGTCAAATCTAGCACCCAGCAGCTAAATACCACAGAGCAGTGCTGCTCCTCCTACTCAGAAACCACCTAACCACAGTTCAAGGAAAGGAACCTGTCTCCCTTTAAACCTGTTTTCCTGCATGTTATGACCCTCTATGAGCACACTCACCAATACTCTGGTCAGGGATGTCCTCTAGACCAAGATTTTGCAGGCATCCTATGAATGGAAGCTGTGTGAGCACTGATCCTAATCTAGTCTGCCTGCAGACCTGCTCTCCACTTACAGAACTAAATGTTTCCCAGGTTTTCCCTGTATCCTAAAGTCCTGTTTAGTGCTCTGAGGGAGGCACTAAAAACCTTGGCCACTGCAGATAAATCCAGGCGTATCAGTTGGCCTCTGAAGAATCACTTACAGCAGCTGGCACCCCAACTTAGCAACAATTTACGTCAGTGCTTTACATCCACAAGAGGATCTCCAAACCTTTAAAACCTCTCTGTCTCCACAGGGTGCTGAAGGTCACCGCTGAAGAGAGTTCCTGGCTGCTGTGATAACACTCTTGAACTCCTCCCCAGAAAATCATTTGTATTTATTCCATACACCATATGAGAATTTCCATATTTGCACGCATATGCACGCTTGCCATGAAATGTCATGGTTCTGAATTAATTTTTCAAGAGCTGGCAAACAATTACAATAATTAATCTACAGGGAAGTAGTGTGACAGCAACAAATTGTGTCTGGCTCCACCACTGGCTGCAGTGAGATCCAAACTGCCGGTCTCAGTAAGAAAACACTCAATGCCTGCAAAACCCTTGGTCACCTACGTTGATAATTTTGGATTATAGGGACAAGATATTTGGAAGGGAGAATGATTTCAGAAGATTACCATTTCCTTTTCTGCTTGCCACCAGACATCTCTACCCACCCTGATGGGACAGGCACATGAATGGCTGAACCAACACATCTGCATGGTCAGCACCTCCAAAAGGAGATGGCATCAGAGAAAATTCCTTTTCTGCTGACAGCAGATCCTCTTCACCACCAGCAGCAGCCAACCACTGCCCCTCTGCTCTTTTTACCTTTTGGGCACACCAAACACCAAATCACTTGTGTGTCACACTCTGAGGGGAGACAGACACACAGAGCAAGGACAGAAGCAAGTGGCTGGAGCAGAATAGAAACTGCTTAAAATAGTACTGGTGAAGTGAACCAGCTGACATTTGCAAAAATAATAAATGTTATTGTTTGAACAGCCCTGCTAAGTCCTGCTTTGAAGATCACAAATTAATGCAGCTTTTTACTGCCATGGCTTTCTGTCTACACCAAGCACTTTCCAGCTCTCATTTGCTCACAAGTTTCTGATGCATTTGCAGTTAAACAAATGAGTCACAAACCAATATTCCCTGACACTCAATTACACTTAGCACTTAAAATAGCACTTTTCTTGTTCCAAGCACATTACAAACACATCGTCCTCATCCTTAAACAGTCAGGCCTTAACCTTACTCTGCAGATGGGTAGCAGGCACAGATGAAGCAAATTGTTTAAACAGAGCAGAGGGTGAGTCAGTGACTCTGGTACAGCATCTCCATCACTCTGCAGGCCCTCAGCCCTCTCCCTCCCCCTGCTCATGGATCAAGCTGTGGAGCTCCTGTGATTATGCTCAGTGAATGCCAACAGAATTATCTGGCACACTGGGCTTTACAGTTTGCAAGCTGATACATCATTCAAGCACTATAAACAGAATTTGCTTTGTAATGAATCTGGATGAAATGGTATAAAAGAGAAGTGACACTTGAGCAGGAAAGGAATCTAGCTCACAGGTGTAAGGAACCTAAGCTTTTACAGATGAAGCCTGAAACTCTCCTCTGAAGAGTACAGCTGAGCAAGACTTCCTCAACTGGTTACAGCAGCACTGGTTTGCTTTGAAAAAGTAACTTTTTTTAATACTATATCCTAATTTAAATACCTTACGTGTCCTGTGTGTCTGTCCAGTTAAAAAGTTCAAACAGCACAGCATGCCTTCACAGATTAAATAATGAGATAACATAAACAGAGGCAGAAAACAAAGCCATGGCAGTGCTCAAACCACTTCTGTCCCTCTGCTCCTTCCTAGCTATCTACAGTAACCAAACCCCTTAATGCAGCACTGAGGTTGCTCTGAGCTTGGGAGTTTGCCCACTGGAAATTATTCTATCATATTACCCTCGCCTCTTGTTGATGAATAGCCAGCAGTGTTTAGCTGGAGCCTCAGCACTGGCTTTCTCCTCTCTGGTGTGCAGGCAGAGGGTACCCTGCACTTACTTCTATGAAGTGTCCAAATACTTGTGAGATGAATGGGAAAAGCCAGGGTAATAAACTCAGTGAAGTGATTTCAGCTGGAAGGAGGGAAAAGAAAAAAGTTGTATCAAAGTGTTTCTGTCTCAAAGGAACCACTGACTTTCCATGCCCTCGTATTTCATCCGTCTGGATGCTCTCTGCTGCTGCACACAACTGGAAAAAAAGCCCTTCAAAATGACTTTATTACAGATCTGAGTTTCTTGATTTCTGACTGGAAGCTTCACTACATCACTCGTTTCACAGCCAATTCCATCCCCTGTCAGTGAGGCTCCCGCTCCGCCGTGCTTGAACGTGCTCCAGCTGTTGAGTCACGGCCCTGCTCAGCTCCCAGGCTCGTCTCCTCCGGCACGTGTCTTGGCTATGACCACACACACAACACCACAGAGCTCGCCTGACATGCCTGCTCCAACCAGCCCCGCTGTCAGGTGTGGCCAGAGGGGTTTTTCAGTACCCCTCAAGCCCTCAGAGCAGACAGAGCATGGCTAAGAACACGGCCAAGCAGGAGCCACCCGATTCCCCACCAAGCTCCAGCAACTGGTGCTGCTGCCAGTTTCCTCTGGTGAGGAAAGACCTGCAGGTTTAAAACAACAGTGGATTAAAAGGGAAGGCAGATAAATCAGCTTATGTGCTTGTGGGCAAAGAAACAAAGGCTGCTTAGGAGAAAGCCAGCAAGTCAAAGCCCAACATCCACCTATGCCACAGTCAAATGGTCACTCTCCACTTGGGTTCAAATGAAGGCCAGAGTAAGTAAAAACACACACAAGCTGGTGAATTCCACCGAGCTAAGCCAGAAGCAAATTACTTGCTTTGAAGTCAAAGTGAAAGTTCAGCCTTTTACAGAGCTCAGTCACAGCAGAGTTTCCATCTGCTGGGTCCCACTCGCCAGCCTTGTGTAACCAGCACATGGGAGCCTTCAGAAATGGGAAATAATGCCCTGCCTGCTTCTGCATCTCCTGGTCCTGTTTTTGTCACTACTGCTCCATGACAGGGAGGCTCCAGCAGCTGGGCCAGGTCACTCAACTTGTCTAATGATTGGATCATATAAAACTAATTGAAAATATACTTATTTTTAATTAAAACCCCACAGATTTTAGAATACAGTACTTTTTCTTTCCTTCACCTGAAAAACTAAACCCTCCATCTTCTCTTACTCTCTGTGTGTTCAAACACCAAAACCCTGCAGCTTTAGTGGAGATACAACCTTAAAAAAGGGTTATAGTTCATTTTCCAGCTTGTCCTGACTTTTGGAGCTTGTTAGAAAGAATGAAGTGGAGTCTAAAAATCTTATACCACAAATGGTTCCTTCTTCAAAGGCCATTTAGGTCTCTGCTGGATGCACATATTTAAAAGCTATCAGATTAAAAATAACAGCACACATCTCTCCCCATGTCGTAATGAAGCTATTGTGCACATTTTTAATCAACTGCTCCTGCCACTTTTGCCACGAGTCCTTTGAAGGCAGCAGTGACTTATGTAATGAGTTACACAACGATGCCCATTAAAATGGCATTTGTTCCCTTGGGCTCAGCTCCATCATTTGA